CTTCTCTGACGAAGTTGCTCCAATATTCTCCTAAAGTTTCTTTGTATTTGATCTAAATTGTTCTGAAGATTTTGAACGGATTGAACATCTTCATAATTTTGAAGGCGATTAATATCAGCTCTTGCACAATTATACTGAAATAGAAGGCTCTCATATTCTACTTCAAGGTCTCGATATTGATGTCTATTATGAGATAAACAAGAAGACAAACGACGAATTTCGTTAGATAAGCTATTTACTTAAGATAAAGAGGAATTCAATAGTTGTTGAAGCCTGTGATTTTCAATATCAAGTTCATCTATTCTTCGTTGTCTAGTCTTTTCTTCTTAATTTTGAAAGTTGTATTAGTGACGTGAGAAAAATTGCTTGCGAAAACTCTTGTCCATGTTGAAATTATAAAAGTAAAAATATTTCAAGAAAAGTTTGGAATTTTACAATAATTTTGGAAGAAAAAGCAAAATTTAAAGGAAATAGATGAAAATTTTAAATGAATATTTATACAGGAAGGAAGTGGCTATATCAAACTCTTGGAAACTCTCAAGATCGTGAGAATTTCCTTTTCTGTAAAACATAAATAAATAATTATTGGGTAATTATTTGTTGATAATCATCATGTAAAATCACGCAATTGATCAGCAAAATTCACAATACTATCACGCAATCGATCAGCAAATTACAACCTCATAGAATAATTTAGAATGAAATAGAATATCTTAAAAATTTGTTATTTGGAAATCTATAAACAAAGAATTTCATAAGTAATAAATATTTTGGAAATTCACTGGAGTTCATTTTTAAAAGGGGGGGATACTGTTATAGGAAGATATTAATCCAAAAGATCACATGACACACATGACCAAAAAGGCATATTAACTGCGCTACATTAAACGACAAAGACGGCGAAGACGAGAGAAATGAATTAAACAAAGGTTACGTGAAAAACCCAGAAATCACCAGAAAATTCCATTATATTACTAATCATTTTTGTATTATTAATCATCTATCATTTATAATCAATTAGTATTTTATTTAT